TCCTCTCTCACTCTGTCTTTAAAAAAAAAAAAAAAAGTAAACTACACTAGCAGTGTGTTTATCCTGTTCAATATCCAGTACCAGCATCTCTGTACTGTGTGCAAAGTGGGGGCACAGAGAGACAGGTGGTGAGAAGTGGATGTTGCAGTGATTATGTGGATGGGGACGATGGGACAGCAGAGGGTGGCAGGAGAGGGCTGATGTTTTGGTTTTGTGGGTCTAAGGATTGCCCAGGGTGCTCTACCGCTGAGCCATACTCCAGCCCTTTTATTTTTTATTTTGAGACAGGGTCTTGCTAAGTTGAGCAGGCTGACCTTGATCTTGCCAACCTCCTGCCTCAGCCTCCCCAGTGGCTGGGATTACAGGCGTGCACTGCTGTGTCTGGTTGAGATTTCCCTGTTTAAATCAGCAAATAAATAGAAGATTCTTTTGGAATGTTGCAGTTAGAATGTGAGAACTGCTTTTGAACTGAAAGAACATTAGGTCAGTCCCTGATAGTAAATGAGAAAGAGAAATTGGAGGGGAGGCTTTCTTGAGAAGAAGATAAAATGAGCTTTACTATGAGCGTGGAGGGATGCTCAGGGAGTTGGCCAGGGTGTTGTTCCTGTAAGTCTCCACCTGATGGTGCTGTGGGACGAGGATTCTGCTAGCCCCACCCTCAGGTCCTCGCTCAGAGCAGATCTAGAGGGGAGACTAGCAGCACTTTCATCCACCAGAGACTCAAGTAGTAAGAATAACAAATATCTCCTTTAATTTTCCAAGCAGGACTCCTAGGCCACAGAAAGCAGCTCTGAGCTTCATGACCAGGCATCAGTAAAGTCCTGTGTCCACAGTTGCATAGGCTTTTAACCCTGCCCCAGGGAGCAGCCTAAGGACTGCTGGTCTCGCCTTGCTGCTGTCCTCACCGAAACCTGCTTGAAAACATCAGCTCGTGTAGGGTTTCTTAGTTCTTCAGCTCTTACCAAATAAAAACTGAAGAGTGGTGGTTCATGACATGCTGGTGTGTGTTCAGTAAAAGTTGTGAGATAGTTATTCCATTTTCATAGACTTTTAAATTTGGCTACCACAGTGGTTATAGTAGTTGTCTTGTGTGTAGAATAAAAGTTAGAGTGGAAAGAGACGTGTTTGAGGCTTTTGATTTAAGGACTTGATGAGGACTTGGTTTGAAACTGACACGGGCAGAAAGCCCCAGCATTGGTTTCCTTGGCTTGCTGTATGCGGCAGCTGCGCTCGGTGTGGCCTGCTGTGTAGAATTGCTGTTGCCGGGAAGGTACACTTGGTGAGCCTGCAGCAGGCGGGGTCCTCTTATCCAGGGGAGACCTGGGGCCTTCGAATTGTGTGTGAGACTTAGAAAACAAAAAGTATAGTAAAAAAATTTTTTTAAAAAAAGTTTGAAGGTAGTGCGGTAAGGCTGGGGACTGCCCCTGAAGCCCTGTACATGCGGGGCGAGTGCTTCCGCTGAGCCACCTGGTCATGACTTAGGGCGATTGCTAAAGTTGACCATTTCCAGTGAACTCTGTTTGGGTAGAAATCTCTGGCTGGTGCCTAATATTTTCAGGCTTTATCTTTTTTTTTTTTTTTTTTTTAAGAGAGATGAGATGAGAGAGAGAATTTTTTAATATTTATTTTTTAGTTATTGGCGGACACAACATCTTTGTTTGTATGTGGTGCTGAGGATCGAACCCGGGCCGCACACACGCCAGGCGAGCGCACTACTGCTTGAGCCACATCCCCAGCCCCTCAGGCTTTATCTTAAGAGCAGGGTGTGTGATTTCACATGGTGACATTTCTGTGTGGTTCTTTGCATAACCAGTTTTTTCTTTTTTGGTGGTGCTGGGGATTGAACCCAGAGCCTTGTGCATTGCGGGGCAGGTACTCTGCCAACTGAGCTACATCCCCAGCCCCCTGCATAGGTAGTTTTAGGAAGCTCTTGTGCCTTCATATTTAAGAGTTAGTATTTCACAGTTGTTTCCTTCCGGGCAGGGCAGTGTGCTCTTCTTACTGCCTGAGTATGTAGATGGGTAGAGGGATAAATGAACATTAATTCTCTGTTTTTCACTTTTAGGTAGAAAAATAAAATAGCAACAAAGTCCAGAAGTCCAGAGGGTACTGGATGCCCTTAATGTGTAACTAGATCTTTCTTTTTGCCAGGAGTAAGGAAGGAAGTAGACGCAAGGTGGTCTCCCCCACCTTTGTACTCGGTGCATTGGGTCCCTGGGCACATGCTGTTAGCCTGCCTGTGCTTCACAGGTGTCAGGTTAAATCTTTTTGATTAAGTTCTCATTGAAGTGTTTTGGATTTGTGTATTTTGCCCCATGTGCTCAGCAAATGATTTATTCAGAGTGTACTTTACCTCTCCTACTAAGAAGTGTTTAATTTCAGAACCACAACTCTGTTTTATGTAAGAGCTTTTAATTTTGAAGAATGCATTTGCTGTTAGAATATTAAAGTATGATTTCTCTTTGTCGCCCTCAAGTTTTTATTAATCTTATTTTTAGGTCCTACGGCTCTTTTGGCTCATGAAATAGGTTTTGGAAGTAAAGTTACAACACACCCACTTGCTAAAGACAAAATGATGAATGGGAGTAAGTATGCTTATGTTTTCATATACAAAAAGACCTCAGAAAACTTATTAGCACCATCTGCAGCTAGAACGGGGTGGCACACAGGGTGTTCTGGGCTGAGGTGGGTGGCCTTGGTCCTCTGCAGCTGTGTCACGGGAGCTGTGCTCACCTGGGGCTGCAGAGGCAGGGCTCTGGGTCTCTGCTGTCACAGACAGAAGGTGGTTATGAGACATGCTGAGGTTGTGTTTTTATGAATGCTTTTCTAGCAGCCTAGGGTACAGTTACAACCCTGACCATAGTTTAGAACGTGCCATTTACCCACAGTGCACAGCAAAATGAACCTTGCTTTCTTCTCCCAGAGTGCCTGCTTCCTTGGCAGCATGGCCTGCTTCCTTGGTGACCTATTTCTTTTCTAAATAATAGTTGGGCACTTGCTTTCATCATCTTCTCTTTTTCTTTTCTTTTTGGTACCAGGGATTGAACTCAGGGCCACTCAACCACTGAGCCACATCCCCAGCCCTTTCTTGCATTTTATATTTAGAGATAGGGTCTTGCTAAGTTGCTGAGACTGGCTTTGAACCCACAATCCTCCTGCCTCAGCCTCCCAAGCTGCTGGGATTATAGATGTGCACCACCATACTGTTACCATGTATTTTTTTGAAAAATCAGTAACTTTTTATTAATTAGATATTAAATTGGGAGTAATATTATCTGCATGAAATTTTTTTTTTTTTAAAGATTTGGCTTTGGGTATTTAAATGGAGGAGTTTGATTTACTTGGAGGTAGTAGAAAGATTTCAGAGGGTGGAAGGAGCCAGAGCAGGCACTTCGCCCGCCTCGCCCACGCCCTTTGCCTCTGTGTTCTTATTGGGGGTGGTGGGGAGCAGGCTGCGAGGCTCACAGCCTCTTCTTGGTGAATCTCCTGATACCCAGGACCAGGCAAGGCAGCTGCCATCCTCCTGCTGCTCAGGCGAGGTTTTGCCCTCTGCCCATCCCTCCCCTGTGGCAGAAAGGCTCTGCGTGTTTAAGTTACCAGACATTGAAGTTAGCCAGTCCCGTCAGGAGGAAGCATGTGACATCTGAGCCAGGCCTAGTGCTCTAGAGGAGCAGCCACAGGCATGGTGGGCACTGCTCTGCGGGAGGCCTTGACTTGGCCTCATGGTACACTTGGTGGGGCAGTGAGGTTTCCCCAGGGGAGCTGTCCCGTCCAGAGGCTCTCAGCTTGTCAGGTGTTGAACAAGCAAGTTGTAATTCCAGTGACTCATTTTTTGTCCCGGGTGGCCTTTGTGTTGGTAAGCTCCAGTGGTCACCTGTGGGCTCCAGTGGCCACTGGCAGCTCTCTGATGGGTGGCCTCACTCAGGTGGGACCGTAGGTGGGGTCTTTCATTTCTCTGAGCCTCGGTTTCCTCATCTGTCACCTGGGCGTAGCAGTAGCATCTTCCCTGGCTGGGGTGGCAGTGAGCTCATGTGCACCCCGCGGCCCAGGCAGGTGTCGCTGCCGGTCCTCTGGCTTGCTGTGCCCTCCAGGCCGGGTGGCATGTCGCAGGTCTGGACAGCCAGCCCCGCTGGTTCTCTAGCTTTGCATTTTAGACCGCCCTGGCCTGGTTTAGCCAGCAGTAAATGGGTTTAGTCATGAGAGCCTTTCCCTTCAACGAGGGGCCCTTGTGTCCTCCACAGTAGTGTAGGTGGGAGATTCCCCCGTGCTCTTGTTGTTTTGGTGGGTGACTATTTAAAAAAACCTTTGTTTAGTGGACCTTTGTTTATTTTTATGTGGTGCTGTGATTCAAACCCAGTGCCTCATACACTCTAGGCAAGTCTACCACTGCGCTACCACCCCAGCCCTAGGGACCTGATTTTTAATGATAGTAAGGTGTAGGTTGCTGCAGGCGCTGTTAACTCACCTTGAAAAGCTCAAGACTACCACTGACGCATGGGGGTTCTGCTTTAAGGGGAAGCTCTGGCTGCACTTTTCGTATTTGTTAAGCCAGTGCTTCCTGAGCTGCTCCTTTGGTGGTGTCAACACCAGAAACAGGAACAAGGTGCAGCTGTGGCCACCCCCCCCCCCAACAGGTGCCTGAGCCATGCTGTGCTGAGTTGGGCGGGGCGGGCGCAGCCCTGCTCTCTCATCCTTCACGGAGGTCCTTGTCTACTTTGACTCCTACCCTCCCTCTAGTGGCCCTCTGTGTCTGCATATTACTTAAGTGGGGTCACTGGCACCCCAGAGACAACCACAGTCACCCTGGATGCCTGTCCACTGCAGCCCCTTCACTGAGTTCTGAACATTTATCTCTGGGCCTTCGTCTCCCACCTTCTCCCCTTACTCTGCACCTCTGCCTGGTCAGCCCTTGCCAGCTCTCCCTTCAAACAGGGTCTTTTCCCTGCACTCCAGTCTCTGCGGAGGCCAAGCCTCAGAGGGCCTTGTGTGCCACAATTTGGAGTTCTGGGGCCCTTTTTAGTGCTGGGAGAGTTGGTGGGGTGCCCGTGGGGGAGACCTGGGCCTGCTGCACTCACGCCTTCAAATGACAAATAGGCGAGAGAGACCAGGTTGAAGGACACTACCATCTGCATACCATAGGGCACCACCTTTGTGCCATTGGTACTCTGGGCAGACAGGCACAGATGAAGGGCCAGAAAGGGGACAGATGGTCAGTTCCGGGAGCTAATAAACAGGTTAGTGGTGGGGTATTCATCAGGCCTGACTTGGGAGGGTCAGCGTGCCCTGTGCAGGGCTGTGCTGATGCTGAGACCAGTGGGGTGGGGAGCGTGGGGGACCTTCCTGGGCCAAGAGGATGGCCCTGGCCTCTCTGCCTGGACCAGAGAGGCCTGGTTCAGTAGGAGGAGCTGGAGGGTGCAGCGGGCCAGGCTGTGGGGCTGGCTGCTGCGTGCCGTGGGAGCGGAGGCTCCTGTGTTGGGGAGCTCGGGAGTCAGTATTGCCAGGAGCCGGCCACAGGGGATGGGCCCCGCGCCCTCCATGCCTCCCCTCTCTGCTCCAGCAGTCACCTCGGACGCCAGCTTGTGCTGGGAACAGAAAGGGACTAGCGAACCCCCCTCCAGGGACGCCCTCCATGTGGACCTCGGGCAGCACCATGTCCCTCGGGCGGGCGATCCTCTGCTCGCTCCAGCAGCTGTCCTCTGGCCCTTGCCAAGCAGTTGCTTCCGTGTCTGGGAGGCCCTCTGAGAGCTTGGGATCCCCTCAGCCAGCCAGCAGGAGGCGTTGTTTCTGCCTGGCTTTATGTGAGACCTGTGGCATGCTGTGACAGGGCGCTGACCCAGCAGTCACTGTCATGCCTCCCCCCAAGCCCTTTAAAGATGCATCTTGCCGTTCCCACCTGGCAGGTCACTACAGCTATTCAGAGAGCCGCGTGGAACAGGACGGCCTGATCCTCACCAGCCGTGGGCCTGGGACCAGCTTTGAGTTCGCCCTTGCCATCGTGGACGCGCTCATGGGCAAGGAGGTGGCCAACCAGGTGAAGGCGCCCCTGGTTCTTAAGGATTAGAATGCCTGCCCCAAGGGGCCAGGCGACTGACGGTAGTCCTCACTGTGCTCACCAACGCCAGTTGGTAAGCACGGCAGCGGCAGCCTGCTGTGTGACGTGGCCACCGCGTGCCCCCAGCCCGCACACTGTGCCCCTGCCTCCTGAACCTTGTGTGCAGAATAAAGAGGGCGTTGAGTAACACTGCTGCTGCTGCTGCTTTGTCTCCAGATTCTTCTGTGAAACTGAATTCATGATCAGTCTGAAGGTGACCACTGAGGTCCCTCTCCAAGAGGGGAGAGCGGGGCAGCGCCTCAGGAGTCTGGCCGTTTCCACCCGCTCCCCGGCTGTGTGTTCACGGTGCGGTTCAGAGCAGTGAAGTGGGCTGTACCCGCCAACTTTGTAAGTCAGCCAGCCCCTCCTTCCTTTTGTGGAAAGGGACCTCCGGTGGGGTGAAAACTCCCAGACTGCCCCGCGTCTCTCCCCCTCCTCAGGGAGCAGTGCCCAGCACTCCTGGGAGCTCTTCAGCTCCTGCTTAGGAGTAAAAACGTGCCTGGGGGGGCACACAGTCTGGGTCCCGTCAGTCAAAACCTCACATACCCTGACCACATGACCCAGATGAGATGGACCAGTGGGTAAGACTCAGTTCTGCAGCCTCTGGGTAGCTGCTGAGATGCTCTGCTGCTAGATTGGCCAGAAAGATATTCTGTAAAGCTGGAGCATTGACAGCCCCATTGGCACTGTGAGGAAAGAACCCGTTGGCCAGCAGACCAGTTGGCCAGCTCCTGGTCTAGAAGGCAAGGCAGATGTTAATTTTTTAATGCACACATGCGACTGCACCTTTTCCTCACAGTGTGGGGGATGATAGAATGCCAGCGAGCAGGAACAGTGTGGGGTGGTGGTGGGGAGGCTTCTGAGGGGGCCGCACTAAAGCTGACCCCTGAAGTCAGAGTGGGCTGGACTCTCATCCGCACTCTCCAATGCAACATTTACCATGGAGAAGCGGTCTTTGCCCCGCACAGTGTATGTTGTGAGAGCAAAAGGTGAGAACGCATTTAAAGTTAATTTTCTATAAGAAAAATGAAGTAGGTAGGGTAGGAGGCAGTGACAGAGGCATTTTCTGTGTGGTGGTTAGAGAAGGCCCATCTGACAAGGGGTCTTAGGGGAAATCTGAAGAAATGGGGCAGGAAAGAGGCAGATAAGTGTTAAGAGCCCTTCAGGCAGAAGAGACCAGAAGTGCAAAGGCCCTGGGGCTGGCTCAGGTGTGGAGGGCAGGGAAGGCCCTACCTCAAGACTCCAGAATAGACCCTGGATAAGACTTCCCTTGGGGCTCAGAGGCTTCCTGGGAGGACTGCTGGGGCAGGGCTGTGATGACAGTGAAGCGTGACCATGTGGGGCATGAGCGAGGACATCATGGACATTTCTCACATTTCTGACTTGGGTCTAAGGCAAAGTGCGGACTGCTCCTGAGCTGGTAAAGAGCTGCTGAGGGAAGGGGTGGGGTGATTGATAACAGAGGGATGAGTTGGAGATGTAAAATACCGGTTCTTTTCACTAACCACTGAGCCACATCCCAGCCCTTTTTATGTTTTATTTTGAAACAGGATCTTGATAAGTTGTTAAGGCTGACCTTGCACTTGCGCTTGTCTTGCCTGAGCCTCCCAAGTCACTGGGGTCACAGGTATGGCACTGTTTTCCATAGAGAAAGGGAAACTCTTACTCTGCCAATCACAAATGGCTGATCTGAAGATGGTTCACTGTTAACAGTGGTCATTCGCAGGCGCTGCCAAGTGAGCGGGGGTTCTGCCTGCAGCCCCCGCCGCCCAATACGCTCCCTGGAACTTGAGAGGTCTCCACAGGAAGGGAGATCCTGCGGGGGAGTTCCTCTTTGAGAGTGTGTGCCCTGTGGGCAGCAGGGAGAGTGTGCCCATGGTGGGAGAGGCTCGGAGAGGAAGAGCTTCATCTGGGCGTCCGGAGCAGTGGTTTTCCCCGACTGTTGGGATGGGGCTCCAGGAGCGGCCTCAGCGGAACCTGAGGTCTCACCTGGCCCTTCTTGAATACTTGCTTGGGTGTGTTGATAATAGCGAAAAGTCTCCAGCTCCATCTGCCTGCTTCCTTCCTGGGCTACACAAACTTGCTGTCTCCTTCCAACAGTTGGGGGGGGGGGGCTGTCTACACCAAGAGGGGACCTGGAGTTGAGACTTAGGGTGATGACCAGTTGGCTTGTCTGCCTCCTCCTCAGACTGGGGTCACCCAGAGTCAAGAGTTCGTATTTATTCTTTATGTTTTTCACTTTTTCAGTAAAAGTTCATTCACTTTAGAGAAGTAAGTGCGGCTCCAGGGCCTTGCCCAGGGTGCCTTGGAGAGTTACAAGGAATCTGGTCTGGAGGTCCAGCCGCCTGCCCAAAGCTCAGCCTCCCTGATTGGAACGAGAAGATTCTGGCAGCACAAGCAGCTCAGGCCTCCAGCCTCCTCAGGGCTGTGGCTTCCATTACCAAATCCAGAGGTCCTGGTCAGAGTGTCCCCAAGGGACCTGGTGAAGGGAGCTGTGTTCCAGTCGCTCACTGGTGTCACTGGGGAGGGGCCAGTGCTTATTGAGTTGCTGGTACCTGGCACCTAAAGGGGCAGGTTTGCATCTTGTGTATTTTCTTATACAAAAGGGATCACATGATCGCTCCACTGCCGCTGTCCACTCTCCCGGTTTTCCGATGGTTAGAGGAGGCCCGTCTGACGGGGCCCTAGGGGGAATCTGGGAGCCTTTCCTCAGCTGGATGTGGAGGTCTGTGTGCTGCCTGCAGTCACCGGTGTCATGTGTTGTCAAAAGTCTTTTTAGAGGTCAGGAGCTTGCCTGTCCTTTGCCTTAGGATTGCCATGAGAATCAAAGGCCATAGTAAAGGGGGAACACGTCTCTTAAACTGTGAAGCATTAAGTGTGCAGCCGACTGTATCATCTCAGAGTCTGCTTGCCAGCTCCACCTTCCGGGTTGTTGGTTCCCTGAGGAATGAGAACATTGATGTCTGCAGCTCATTCTGCAGAATCATCTGGAAGTTAGAGAATGCCCGGCCTTTGTGCTCACCAAGGGTACAGCAGGAGGGGTCTGAACACACCGTGGCTGTCACCATCTGCACGTCCAGCGGCCTGCAGGGGCTCATTTGGGTCCCCCAACAAATCCTGGGCCAGCTGCAATGCCCAGATAGATGAGATCTCCGCAGGGCTGTGCCTGCTAGGCCTCCGCCACTCCGCTGCCCACAGAACTGCTTTATCTTGCTTTTTCAATTCTGCACTTTCCTTTTTATGAATGTATTTTGTTCTTTAATCCAGCCTGTTCCTAGAGGTTTTTACTTGACTTCAAAATAACAGGGGGGGCTGGGGTTGTAGCTTAGTGGTGGAGTGCTTGCCTCACATGTGTGGGGCACTGGGTTCAATCCTCAGCACCACATAAAAACAAATAAATAAAATAAAGGTATTGTGTCCAACTACAACTAACAGAATATTAAAACAAAATAACAGAGGGGCTGGAGTTGAAGCTCAGCAGTTGTGTCCACTTAGCGTGTACAAGGCCCCAGTTCCACCCTCAGCACAACAAAAGAATTAAAAGTAACATTAGAATGGAAAGTTCATTGTCTTTAAAGAATCAGAGTGCGGCGCACAGGCCTGTATTCCCAATGACTCAGGAGGCTGAAGTGGGAGGACCACAGATTCAGAGCCAGCCTCAGCAACTTAGCAAGGTCTCTCTCAAAAACTCAAAAGGGCTGGGATGAGGCTCAGTGGTTAAGCGTCCTGTGTTCAATCCCTGGTACCAAATGCAGAAAGAAGAAGAGACAAAACTGGTAGTAGAGGAGCTGTCCAGACATGGACCTTGGGCTGGTGACGTCAAACCTGAGGGCAGCATTGTCGGCGCAGTGGGGATGGAGCCCGTGCCTCATTACACAGGTCTTTGCTGAGTGCTTTTCTTTAAAGCCAAGAAAAGGACGTGTGCTTAGCTCAGGGCTCTCCTTTCCAAAGGAGAATAATATGTCACAAAGTTTACAGAAGAGAAAGTTGCCCTTTGGTCCTCAACCCAGGTGGACCGTGGGCTTCAGTCCTGTGTTCCTGACCTCAGGTCTGTCCTCAGCCTCTCCTCCTGCAGGGCGGAGGCCTCCAGCCAGCCTGCCTAGAGCCCAACTGTGTGGTCAGCCTTGCCAAATGCAGAAGGCCCTCCACACCATCGCTGGGTAACCAGCCCCAGGGGTGGGACGACCTGGAGGAAGCCTCATTGGGTGACTCTCAGACAGAGGCAGGGAGAGGATGGAGATGGGGAAACGGCTGTCCTGCCTCAGGTGGGCCCTGCGGCTCAGCCTTCAGAGCAAATCAACGCAGGAATACAAGGTGCAAGTTCACAGGCAGGAATGAGGTCACCCTCTTTTCTAATACTTGGTTATGCTTGCACATCCTTATCCGGGAACCATGGCCACTCAGCACACTTACGACAGAGCCAATTATCTCCGGATGGTGGATAATACTATGTCATTAGTCCGTGAGGCATCAGCTCGGTGCCACCTGGGTCTTAAAACACTTTTTAAAAATTTAATTATACAACAAATACGTCAATACCTGCTCCTTGGAAAAGACTCAAACAATTCATGGACATATAAAGCAAGACTTGGAAGGTCTCTGTCCTGCCCTCCCTCCTCTGTCCCTCTTCCTATTCTAGGGAAGTCCTCTTTGGGGTCCATCTTCCAGTTTAATTTCCATGAATTTACAAACATCTAATGGGACAAAGCCACACAAGTTACATTTTTACATAGACGGTACATGATAACTTCATAAGTTACTCTTAAATAAACAGAGGAAATGCGCTATTGTGTATCTTGTTTTGCACACTGGATTTTGGAAATGGCGTGCCCTGGACAACTGACCACGTCAGGTCCACACGTTCTGTGTAACAGTGACTAGAAGGCAGACGACAGAAAGTCACGGAAGATGAGGATCCGTCTGAGGAGACTCATCTGGGTAGATTGCAGCGGTGATTTACTTTCCTCTTCTGGTGCAGAAGGGACACTTTCCAGGGAAATTTAGGTCACCACACAGAATTGATGCTCTGCTGTAGGGAAAAAAGAAAAGGGTAGGGCCAGAGGACTCTTCCTGTGTCTCCTGATCCTGAGGTAACTTCAGCTGCAAATAATCTGAGCAACGTGGCATATTTGGGGTTGGTATGCTGGGAC